TTTCCTATAGATTTCTCTTCTTCTTCTTCTCCTATCTTCTACTAGTCTTGCCTTTTACTTGTGATTTCTGCCTTGTCACAAAAAAATGGTTTCTTAAAAACGTTTAAGCTGATAAAATGTAAATTTTCGAACGTAAGTAATTTGTAATGTATTTAAAAATTAAATAAAGCTTAGCGCGAGTAAGCTAGAAGTTAAAACTTACATAACCTCAAAGTATTTTCGATACAAGCTACGTTCAATTTATATCATCGCAACGGAATTGCGAACTTATTTGTTTCTAGTAAGACTGAAATTGCTCTAAGTAATAGCGATTTCCGATTATGGTAATGACAATAAAAGCTGTTACTTTAGACACTCAAAACTATGTCTCTTTATATTTATACAAACTTCCTAGTATTTATTATTTTAACTTATAATATCCCACTGCTGGGCATAGGTGTCTTGTAAGATAGAAGTTTAAGGCCCATCATGCAGCTCTAGGGTCGGTTGGTGGGCTTCAACGACAACTGAATTTGTGATGATATTCATGTCGGGCCTATCGTCTTTCTATCACTATAAAATAAAGTAATATGGCCTCATAGTCTTTGTTGAGTGTAACAAGTACATGTAAGACCAAGCGTTATGTATAAGTTCATATAAAGTCATATGCGAAATGTACTATTTATTCATATTATTTACAATTTATATTAACTACGGCCCGACGTTTCGGACGCTTTAAAAATTAATTTAACTGATACATTTCGCGCTTTGAACGGTTAAAAGTGTTTAATTTAAATGTGCACTACTCGCGTAAACTACAGATACGAAGTATTTTTATTACGGATCGGAGACTACATTAAAAATTTAGGAAATGCATAATTATAATAGATATTTAAAATATGAAAAATGTTGATGGTAAAGTTATTTTGATAGAGTTATCAATTATGGTCTCTCGTTACATAACCTAGTGTTTTTATTATTTCATGTTTTGTGCCGGAAATGCACCTTTAAATTGAACCATCCTTAAAGTAACAATTGAACTGGATCCAAATAATCACGATTTTTCAATTTTTATTTGATACATTTCAATTTATACTAATCAAAGGGTTGTTTTCTGGTCGAAATCGAAATCGGGGCATCACTCAAAATCAGCGCTGCAGCAACTCTGTTGTTGCATCAACAGCTGAGTGATGTAATAATTGTAACCCAATTATGAACCAGCTTATATCTTTGTATAAATCCTATATGTAGGGATTGCCTATGCATGTTCTTTACTGAGGATTAAATTATTTGAATTTGAAATTCCGTTGGGGTCATGATGCACGGTCCACGAATGAACGGCTTCCACTCTGAAAACTTCCGAATATCCACTGACAAAATAGTTTGACAGGGCATTTTGTTGAGATGTAAAGGCTTTGAATGGGGTATTTCACCTTCAAAATAAATGGGGACCACCGCGTTGACTTAGTACATACCAACAATTTAATCGCCATATTTGGTTTGGTATTACTTTACGCTCAATTTCCTTGTTAGCTATTGCTAATTACTAGCAAATTATTGCTCAAGATAAATCGGTTTTGTGTAAACTATATACAGTTATTTCTGTACAAACGAAATTCCAAGATAAATTAATGTAACGCCAATTAGAGCAAGCGGTTGGACATGTTAGGTTTTGTATTTAAATATTTACGATATGATATTAATATACGTAATTTTGTTAAATATGCAATAAACAAAAGCTAGAGGTCTTCTCGTTCATTTTACACACTTAATTTGAGTATTGTTGTATGTAAAATTGTATAGTTCTGCATAAATGTGTTCGGCTATCTACGTAAATATAGCCTCGAATAGAACAAAAAAAACATAATTACATGGTTTGTTTAAGTGAAACAGACTCACGTATGTGACTGCCCCATGCCTAAATAGGAAGTAATCTTGTTTATTAAGGTTATTATATAAAAACGGTACTTCCTTTTTACAACATATACTCGCATCTGTACTTGTCATGTTTTTTGACTAATAACGTGGTATTTAAATACTGTCTGTATTTTACGTGAGTAATGTAAGTTAAAAAAAAACTTTTAACAGTTTAAATCTGACCGACTCTACCAGCCTTACTGATTACGGCTGCTGTATAGCATTCGAATTAAGTCAAACATTTCTTAATATATTTCGTGTTTTAATCCGTTAGAAGTGTTCAATACCTAGTAACCTATTACTTAATTAGATTGACAGAGCGTTACTAATTATATGTATGTTTCAAGCAGTCAACTTGCCTAATATTGTTTTTGCTTTAAGCGTAATTTTATGCAAAATGCTTTCAAAACAGTTTGTCATTCTGAGGGCTATTTTAAAGGTATTTATTTCGGTTAAAATATGACATCTACTTGTATTGTAATATTATTATTCTTGCAAGTGTGTTAGTAGGTCTGTTTTGTGATGCTAATTTGACTTAACATAGATAATATAGTTGCGTATGTTATGAACGAGGTAGATTATAAATTGTTTAATATTATCTGTGCATTATTGTGGTTGATATATAACCGCCTCAGTAGCTAAATGGTTAAACATGTTGCCTGCCAGTGTGTAAAGTAAAGGTCCTTGGTTGGAATCCCGGGGAAATAATAGATTGTGTCGGTCGGGCAGGGCACAGAAGTCTGGTCAACTACTTGCTGTTAATAAAATCGATTAGTGAATCGCCCCATGCCCCGCAATGGGAAACGGGATTTCATACTCTTCACACACATTGTGGTTTAATCTTTGAAATGTTGATGTTTAGGCAGTCCTACAGTTAGAACTTATAAATAAAACACTTTAACGGTTTAAAACGCGATATATTCGTTAAACTTATTTGAAAATGATTTTTAACTTCGGCCCGACGTTTCGGATGCTTCCCAGCAGCCGTGTCACGGGGAGACGGGTCTTATTTAAATGTGCTACTACTCGCGTAAACTATGTACGACAGTATTCATTAATTTTTTTTTTGGTGTATTATTTAATTTTGGCTTGTTAGTGAGAATTTGTGAGACTTGTTTTGCAAGAGAAGGACAGATAAGCACGGAGTTCACGTGATGTTAGATAAAATACCACAGACATAATATAACAAGTAAACAAGTCACCAGATCGAGCTATTTTAGCTATTACATATTCACTTCTTCACTTAATAATTATTTAATATAACAAATTAAAATCAATTTTAGTAAGTATCACAAATTATAAGCATCTAAGGAGTTAGATTGTTAGACATACAATGACAAGACAAGTTTGTAGTTAACTTAATTGAAGTTTCTCGTTTGCGACTTTTTTGACATTTAAATTATTTTACCGTTACGAGCTTTAGTGAACTAATGTTTGCGTTGTTCTATCCTTTTGGTGTGAAATTCTCCAGTATGCGTTCAAGCTATATTCTGTGCAGCTTATACGTGCTGTCACTCATTTGGAGCTACCGCCTCCAGGCACTCAGACAAGTGCCCTTGTCTAGGTGCCAAGAAAACTGGAGATGTCTCAGAATTAGACGGTTTCTTTATTTCCACCGCACTAACTAGCTGATGGAAAGTCTTTGTTTATTTTGAAACATTTTGCTGCTTATTTTAGATATGTCGTTGTACCTTTAAAAGGGCTTTGTAGTTTTAATTATACATTTTATTTTGTATAATTATTTATAGTTCAACTTATATACTTGAAATCGACGTATTTTAACGACGTCAAGTAAACCTTTTTTTTTAATTTTCGTTATGAGAGAGAAATATTATGTCTGTAACGTACTATTTATTTTGTCTTTTTATAGTAATCAGCTCACAATCATTGACTTATTGTTTGCAATGTTAATATTACGTTGATACAACTCTGACAAATTATTGGTAATAATGTAGATATTTATTTCGACCAAACTTGATTCCCATAAAAGTGTTCCTGCGAGTTCATCTTAAAAGATAGAAATACTGTCGTGAACGTTTTATTTAATATTAAATAAAATAAAATAAATAAATAAAAAATTATATAATATAACCTGTCTCACTAAATGGTCTATCCAACACATAAATAATTTTACAATTCAAACCAGAAGTTCCTAAGATCAGTGCGTTTAAACAAACAAACTCTTCAGCTTTATAGCTTTTCATTAATTAGGTACAAAATGAGCCAAATGAACGGATTAAAACGGACAATTAATTAAGATACGATTAAATCTGTCGCCAAACATCCGTGTGGGCGTTTATTTATTTCATTTGTCATAAACGGCTGGATACTGGATAGCACATAATGGTATTACGCAATAAATAGGCCGGCCTTTATCAGTTATCAATGTGATATTGTATAGGAGCTATTTATTTTCGTAATAGACCCGATATTCTATACGGTTATTGCAATGGGCTATATTTTCCGATTTCATTGGAGCTTTTTCAACTACATTTTGATATTACATTGATAACATCTCAAATTGATTGATTTGCTAATATTATGTTGTTACTAGATCACCCGAAAACAACAAAATACCAAACACTATTTTCATATACTAATTTATTGCCATCGGCCTGTTATTGAGCGGAATAAATAATGATACTAAAACAATTATATATTATAAAACATCGGGGTTGGTGATAGAAGATTGAAAATTTAGGGTTGTATATAGTTTTTACTGGACATTATAAAAAGTGCGTAAGTGTTTACGTGAGTCGTAAACATTTAAATATAACACTTCACGTTATAAAATGCTTTCTTGTTTCCAATTTTCAACTGAGACTCGACGTTTCGCACGCTTTGCAGTAGCAGTAGATTAAAATAAATAAATATATGTCGCGTTTTAAACCGTTAAAGTGTTTCAAATATATCCTACTCGTGTATACTATAGACATCCTCCACCTTCGATTCCTCCGTGACCACGGCTGGTGGAGCTTTAGTAACATCCTACCGTAGTTAAATTACAACAAATTCACAAAAATATAAATATATATCGCATTTTGTGTACCTTTACTAAAGCCACTATTTCTTCCTTTGCAGAGCATGCCACCGCCCGTATAAGCATGAGCGTGCGCGGAGCGGGCGGGCAGCGCTGCCAGCTGATCCTGCAGCGCTGCCTCGCCATACAACTAGCCAAGCCGGGCAACGCGCCGGACGACTTCTGGATGTACGACTCCGGATATCTGCTCTTTCAGGTACTATTTTTCAACGAACACCCAGTCAAACGCTTCTTTAAATTTAGAACAGACCTCAGTTATTTCTTTGTAAATCTATACTAAGATACAAAGCGGAAGAGTTTGTTTGAACGCTCTAATCAGGAGCTACTGGTTCGAATTAAAACATTTTTTTTGTATTCCTTTTTATGCTATGAAAGTGGGAAATGTGGAAAAAAGGGGAAAATTATTCATCTTTGTGGGTTTCCGACGCGTACGGTGCGAAAATGGTTCAAGATATACGAAAAATATGTATCAAAGAATGATTCCTATTTAAATTATCCTAAAAATTTCCGCGATAGTTTATGTCTACTACCTTTAAGATGCAGGCATTATAGACGGACGGGAAGTTTTATGCTTGGCTTAGCTTAATAGAACTTCGTTACCCTTACTGAGGGGGGGGAATAATTGTATACTCTTACGTAAAACTTGAATGACTGCTGAATAATTTAGAGAAGGTAAAGATCTCGTTCCTCGCGGCCTGACTTGCAGATGTTACTATTATTTCACGAACGCCTGAATTTTCAGGTTCGAAGTGCACTCTATTTTTAGCATAGGAAATATTCAGAAGGTTCAATCTAAAACGTCCCAGCTGACACTATTTCGCTGATTGAATCTCAGCTGCGAGCGATAAGCAATCAATGCACGCGAATCAATTCCGACGTGTTTCTGTTTACTGTGAGATGTTCGGCACATTTAGTTCGGGATTTCAGAGCTTTTTAACGAATATTTTTTTGGTTGAGTTAGTTATTAGTTATAGATGAACACGCATCTGAGATATATTTGGCTTCATATTATGAACATTGAAGATTATTTGGATCCCTAACGTGTCGCAATTTAAAAATATAATATTTTCATGATTACAATCAACATAAAAATACTTAACTTTACATATCGTAAAGTCTTTTATCGTTTAATAAGACAATACTAAATTAAAAATCTATTTGAATATCACAGCGTGTTGGACAATACATTATGTGTCTGTCTATAATTATAAACACAATGCAGTGTTGTCTATACCTCCTTATAGATGCTCACATATATCTGTCATATTTATACATTAACGTGTAGACATAAAAATAATCCCCGTGACCACGGCTGCTGCAAAGCATCCGAAACGTCGGGCCGAAGTTAAATATCATTTTCTAATAAGTTTAACTAATATATCGCGTTTTAAACCGTTAAAGTGTTTTATTTAAATGTGTTACTCGCGTAAACTATAGACAGTATTTAAACATAATAATATTAATCTTGCAAACAACAAAACAACTGTTTTCGATCAGCGATCGATTCATATGGCGATTATTTTTAAACCGATTGAATCTAGGTTATAACTACGGAAGCTACCTTCACAATCTCTTAATAAAAAACCATTGAATTATACAATTTCAACAACAATCGGATGTTGTATAATATGAGCGATATTGATTAATGATCGATGGGCACGTAATGTGCTTGAACACGACTGAATTACTATCAATAGTCAATTAGAAATGCATGTGGTTACATTTAAATCGAAAGATGGCCCAGATATTTAGAGCCAAAATAGGTCTACGTCGGATCTTATCGATGATGTGAGGCTGGGTTATTTTATCAACCATTAAGTGACCACCGTGCTCAAGTGCTTTTAGGTCTTCATCTATTAGATAAAAAAAATATTGATATTTGATTTTATTTCAACATGAACGAAGTCAAAAGTGAGGTATGTTCTAGTTTTTTATCTTTTATTTCAATTGATAGCTATTATCGGTGTGGTCTTTACTAAGACTATATTAACGACAATAAAGCTACAATAATTTAACTCGTTTGTAAAGCTCCAGTTACTACGTGGTTGGGTTATAATTTCTCCAAAAATAGCCGAAGATGTTGTTTGGTTAAAGTGATCATTTTGTCCTGTGTCAGACAAAGCTCTAGCTTGGATTCGAACATTTTACATGATTAAAATTAAACACAATTTAAACGGTTTAAAACGTGAAATGAATTAGTTGAACTTGGATTTTTTTAAATTTTGAATAAGTTTAACTAATTTTAAAGCGTTAAAATGTGTTTTATTTAAATCTGTACTAATCGCGTAAACTACGTAAAAAGGTTGATCACACCAGGAGTACGAAGACAAAGTTGATTTAAATCGTGCTTTCCCTTTGTTGTCTAAAAACGATTGATCGACTACACAGATTGTACTACTTAGAGATTAAGAGAAATATGGTAATTATCTCCTTACAAGAAGTAAAGGAACATTTAATAATGTTCTCATTACAATTATCATTGTATAAAGCAAGTACATCTCTTATAAATTGGTCTATTAAATTAAGGACACGGTCGCAATCTGAGCGCAAACGATTTTCGCTACATTGTAACATTTCAACACCTCAAACGTATTGTAATTTGGGTCTTATTGCAATATAATAGAGTCTAAGTTACAATGCTCGAAACTTGCGGTTATTCTACCGCTACTAAATGATACATTGAAATGAGAGCATTAAGGGAACTGCTCTGATGATAAACAATGCGAGTCTCAATCTCTGTAAGGTCATGCCACCCGTGGCGCCTTTTTGAAACTAAGACATAGTGACCTATCTATACGAAGCTTCAAGCTAGTTTGTTTTTGTTAATTTAATTTTTTTAAACGCGAAATATATTTAAGTTAAACACTTTTAACGGTTTAGAATACGTATATTACTTATTATTCATTTATCTTAACTACGGCCCGAGGTTTCTGATAGTACAGTTTGAATATGAAACAAGACAAATAAGTTTTCAAACCGTTAAAAGTATTTTATTGAAATGTGCGCTACTCGCTAAAACTACAGACAATAAAGCATTAACTACTTATTCTCAGCCGCATTTTAAACCGTCTATTGAGCTATAATCGGGCTACTAAACACAATACTTTTTCATAGTTCTTGTTTTATCTTTAGAAAAATGGTTTTAGTATAAGGAAACAGACACAGATATGTGTCTTCCCTTTACCCCACATACAGAAATAAGGTAACAATTACAATCCAATTCTAGTTTTAAATATTACTAAGTTATTAGTAAGCAAATTTTTGTATCGAATATTGCACTAACTTTAACAGTATTCTTAAAGGTTACTGTCACAACTGCTTATAAGATCCGATATTGACAAAAAGTTGAAATTATCACTTCAAATCCCAATTCTCATAAGCTTTGCGATAAAAATTAAATATCTTTTCCAAAGGCCACCAAGTGAAAATTAGATCTAGATCCAGTTAAACCCCAGCTTCCATACCGTGAAATAAGTTCGGTTCAATATTTAATTTTCAGTCTGCAGGGGAAATTACGTAGCGACGGACAAAGATAGCTTTCAACAAACAAAGCCGAGCGGGCCTTTGTTTGGGGAATGGAATAACGAACCATTCGCATTTATTTTAAATCGAATTTTATTAAAGGTTTTGATTAGCACTTACTTTTCTGGTGTCATGATTGCCTGGTATTATAAATGCATTTCTTATTATTACTATCTCTCCCAGTATTTTACCAATCCAAAATAAATAATAACAAGAGTGTAAAATTGAGAGACGAAAAAGGTCAAAGTCAAGTAAATCGAACAATGAAACGGACATAGTAATATGTCTTACCAACGAAGATACATCGTAGATACTTAATGTGTATAAGTAATACCCATACAAGTCAGACAACTAGCATTCAGTATAGAATGCAATTAGAGACTGGACATCTGAAAGCTGGTGTTTATTAATAACTGAAATAGCTTATAATAAGCTATCATTAAAGCACAAAGGCTTCCGTAGAAAGTAAAGAATCGCCAGGTCACAGGTTATTCTCTCGCCCTTTACTCGTGTTGGGTGAGGTGGATCTTTGATTGTTCGGATGGTTAATCCTATTATTCGATTTCATGTTTGTTCGGAATCCGCTTTCAGTTGTTGTGCTGTTGTCTTGAAGTATGTTTTCTACGAACTCATTTCCGATATTATTGCTGTTCTTTACAATTCTATCTCGGTCAAGTGGTTTACGCTGATTTCCGTAAAGTCGGGTGTTTCTGTTCGTGCACCAACAGTTTATGTTTTAGTTAAAAAAACGTTTAAAACAGTTAAGCTATGAGTAAATTATGTGACTTTTTGACAATTTTGTCATCATTGGTCGCTGGTCCAGTGCCCGCAAAATGCTTCGCTTGTGGCTCGTGGTTCTTATTCTCATATGTATGTCAAGCATTTTAGGATTTAATATACTTGTTAGACCCGGTTTGGAAAACTTGAAAATTCCGAGAAAATGAAGATACTAAGACCAAGATGAACTGTCAAAAGCTCTGAACTGTAAAACGGTGTTTCAGTTTCAGCCTGTATTTCAGAACGCCCATAGTCTAAATACGCCGTCAGAAGATCTTAGTTGGCTTTTATACCTTGTTATGTTACGTTATGAAATAATCTATTATTATGACCAAATGTGCTTGTTGAATGGAATCTATTAATAACCACAAAACAATGATTCAGTGCCCAACGAAGTGATCAGTTACAGTCATATCGAAATTGTGTTTGAAAGGAATGAAATATTCAGTGAGCTTAGCTGTCCCTAGACAAAACAGTCATAGCTGGCGCCCGTCGATTTATATGAATCACAGATCTGCTATGAACTTTATGAAGCTTTGTGCAGCTTTTGCTGACCACGACGTAGAAGTGATATCATCAATCTGTTGTTGATTTATATAACCCTGGTACTTTTTAGAACGATTAAAAGCTTTTATGTATTTGGGGGGAAAAAAAAAAAAAAGGGGGAGCAAAGAGGCAGGGGGGGGAGGGGAAAAAGGGGGGGGGGGGGGGGGGGGGGGGAAAAAAAAGGGGAAAAGGGGGGGGGGGGGGGGGGGGGGGGTGGGGGGGGGGGGGGGGAAAGGGGGGGGGGGGGGGGGCCGGGCGGGGTCCCTCCCCCCGGGGTAAGAAAGTCCTTCATTGAATGTTTATTTATTAATTAGAGGAATTATAGATAATTTAAGTTTTATGTCGCCTTTG